ATTTGTAGCCAGTGTGCCATCAATGGTAAATTTAATTTTCTTCAGAACAGAATCATAAAAACATTGTTATTATAAGAATCCTGGCAGTCATATTAGAATGTTAGAAACTCTTTGCCACAAAGTTAAAAGCAAAATTGATGTGGTGTTCAATTAGTAGCAGAGTTCACATTAGTAACTGCCACTGAATTCACATAACTTAGTTGGTTGCTTTCCCTTTCCTTTTGGTGGATAGGAAATATTATGATAGATCAACATAGCAAAATAACTCTCTTTGAGGCTTAGTATTAGGTTGGTGAAGATAAATAAGTTTCAAAATATGTTTCCTTTTTTCTGTAACTTTCTCTACTTTTTCTTTTGGAAAATATACAGATTTTGAGAGAATAATATAATGACACACCCTTTTGCACCCATCACCAAACTTTATCATTTATGAACTCATAACCAATCTTGTTTCATCTATTCTTCCATCCCATTCTTTTTACCTGCTGATGGATTCTTTTGAAATAAGTGTTCAACATCATTTCATTTCATATATAAATATTTCAGTAGGTCTCCCTACTGAAGTTCCCAGACTTCTCAGTCAGGTTATAGGAACTAATTGCAAATCATCAGAGTTACAGTCATTCATACAACATAATAATCAATTTGGTCTCATATTTTTATGAACATTTTCAGATTTCTTTTATAGATGGATGGTAAGGATAAGGAGTAAAAGTTGTACTATTTGGCTAATCAGTTGCCATAGTAAATCAGATATGGTTTTTGTTGTTTATGTTTTTGAAATCTGTCATTATTTACATTATTAAGAGTAATTTCAGAAAGCCTTCGATATTCAAAATTAAGTTATTACAAAGAAAAATAATTGGAAGTAATTACAGAGCGATAAATTACTCTCTTACTTTTAAGTCTTCACGCAAATGCAGTCTTGTCAGTGAGACCCTTTCCTGACTACACTGTTTAAAAATGCGGCCCCTTCCTCTCATCCTCCTCCCCAGTGTGCTCTCTCCACCTTTCCTGTTTTGTTTTTCCTCTGTAGCACTAATGACTTGAACATGCTATATAATTTACATATTGTGTTATTTTTGTCTGTCTTTTGCCATGACCCCAGTAATATATAAGCTCCTGACAGCATGGATTTTATCTGTTTTTGTGTCACTGATACATTTCTAGTACATAGAGAAGAGCCTGGTGCAAAGATTTGATCAATACTGTGTTAATGATACTTAAATTTTTAAATTCAGGAAATCTCACAAATTTTTCATTACTGTCTTCTAATCTTCTACAAGAGTGTTCCTTATGTTAAAAACAAGACATTGCTTTTTATTATTGTTTATGGTTTGTTAAGTATATGAAAAATTGATTGTTTTTATGAAATGTTTTAACATATCACTGTAATCTTCATCTTCTTACCATTTCACCAACTCTTTGCTAATTCGTGAGGGGCTATCCCTTACATTCAATTTAATGGAGTAAGTGCCAAAGAAGTTTGTGCTGATGACAGTAACAACAACCACAACAGACGCCATCTATTGATTACCGAATGCATGTCAGGCACTAGGGTACATAGACGAATATTTTAGGGCACAAATGAATATCCCTAAAACATACTTTGATTATAGCTATGATATTGATATGTGTGGAGCTGAGCTACCAAAGTTGGAAATCTTAATTGGCTCTCCATTCCTGCCTATTGTAATTTTTCTTTTCAAACTTATACCTTTACTACTTTGCAAAGACACTCAATGTTTATCCTATCTGTACTGTTCCTTTTTTCCTAAATATTTATTTTGCTGCTTCCATTCCTGGAATGTTCTCTACTTCTATTGAATCATACCCACCCTTCAAATCTCCCCTAATCTGCCATCCCTCTGAGATGCATTTTTTCTTAATTATATTGGAAGTTCTCTCTACTTCCCTTTACATATTTGTGAACATATAGTTAATCAATTTAGGTATTATATGCTTTCTTTTAGTATACTATTTTTTAATATTTCTTGTATCTTCTTACTAGTCAAATTCTTAAACAGAGTTTTCTCTTTAGCTATTTTCTATCTGTAAAACTTGCATATACTTTAGCCAATCCCCAGTAAATATTTTATTAAATTATTATAGTAGACTCATGCTAGGAGATTTTTGTTTCTTAAGTTGAATTATCAGAATTCTCCGTTTAAATTTTTCCCTCACTAAGTTAGCAGAATAACAGGATCGACATGTCAGTGTTAATTCAGCGTGAATCAGTAACCTTAATGTTACTGGAACATTTATTTTTAAGGTATAGATTAGATTAAAGAGAAGTTCTCTTTAATGATTTAGAAAATTTTTTATCCCCCTCCACATTTTTATATTACTATTTTGCAGGCAGAGATTGACATGCCCCTTGAGAAAAGGTACTCTGATGGCACAGAGGAACACACTAAGAAACTGGAATTTTCTATATTTATATTTATGATTATTTAT